TTGGTTGGGAAGCCTGAGGGGAAGAGACCCCTGGGGAGACCTAGACGTAGATGGGAGGATAATCTCAGGCGGGATCTATGGGAGATAGGAGTTGAAGGAGACTGGATTTTGTTGGCCCAGGACAGAGCTTTGGTTAATTCGGTGATGAACCTTCGGGTTCTAAGTTAGTTAGCATTTCGAAAATCCTATCGAATAAACCCTAATTTACATGATTAAGGGTGTTCATTCATACACAGAACGTCCTATCGCACTTATGAACAAAGCAGCTTCCAGAATAACAGATGAACTCCAGGTGTCTCCTTCTTTCTGCAATACTAGAACTAGAATGTTCTTTATCCTGCTGAGGGCTGTCTTCTTGGATATAGCACCGTATAATCTGGTAAAAATTTACCGACGTTTCAGAGATAAGTTGTATTAATAAAAATATTAGCCTGTGAGTTGGAAACCTTCTCGGGAATGTTGTGCACTCTTCGACTGTTTCAGGGGGAACCAAGGTCACACCATGCTGCCTTTGCCCGGATGTTCAGCCCACCGGACGAATTCAGGAGCAGAAGCGGGCCTGACGGAGAAAGTGAGGGCGGTCGGAGGTGATGACCACTTTACAGTAACGTCATAATGCCATCATGTCACACGAAATGGCTGACTTAGACAGTAAATTCTTGCACCTTCTTGAACAAATATCTCCAATCTTGCAAATACTTTGATATCCCCTTTTGGCGTGACGCCATCGTTGTGATGTGAAAACGCATCCGGCTTAGATAATTTCAGATCTTTATTTCATTCGATATGTCTTTCCTGGCTCTCTTGCCTTGCTATTTTTTTTTTTTGGGGGGGGGGGGTGAGAACTTCCGCGAACTTAACAACTGGTATCTAGTTTTTGTTTCCATAATAACAGGTTTCCCATTCATCGAACTTTTTATTATAAGACGCAACTGACCTACTTAAGTAATAGACTGTCCAGAGTTGCGAGATAGGGCCTGGAGAAGTATAACTGGGCTCTGTCAAGCCGCTAATTTCTCAAAAATGAGATTGCTTTAAGGATATTAGCACAGGAACTGTTTCTGTGAGCATAATGTAAATATATCTCGTACTACACATAATTCTTTCTTATATGTGTTCACACCTTTTTATAGCACTCGCCATTTAACTTGTGTGTTTGGGTGAGCGAATGAATGCATAAGCAAATTATTTGGCGTTTTCTGCATAAAATTCGTTAAAATATTTCAATATTAAAGCCTTACATTATCGTGAATCCCATATATTGTCCAATAAATACATAAATAAATTACTTTGAATTTCATCCGGTAAAATTTAAGAGCAGTCAAGGTACGAGGTGCGATCGGAAAGTTTCAAGACTGTGTCAATAGAGGCCGAACCGGATGTAGTACGAGCTTCTGCCGCTAGGGGGGG